TTCATTAGCTAAACACGTAATTACAACCGGCTCACTAGCCGGAATAGGAGGACTACTCTAGGTAGCCTAAATACCACAACTCACACTACAAACGAATAAGAAAAATAAAAGCTCCCCACAGGAGAATACACAAAGCTCCCCACAGTAGAATAACACAGCTCCCCAAAGGAGAATACACACTCCTCCAAAAAGGAGATAACAAAACACAATTCACAAAACAAAACATCAAACACCACATAAACACAAAACACACAAAAATCAAGCAACACAAAACACCAAATAAAACAAAATACTAGACTCGGGAGCAATTTTATTCCGTGTTTTTATTCCCTATTTAAGTTTCGATTTTTCTTCACCAAATCCACACAAAAATGCACTGAAAGGCCAAAAAGGTAAAACACGTTAACCTAAGCAACACAGTAACCACACTATTTAAAAGGTGACCTACCTTTCCCATTTCAAGAGAGAAAATCTCAATGAGAAACCATACTATTCAGATCTCCAACAATGGCCCTCGAAATAGACTTCTTATCAGACCGTCATTTCTAGCCGTCAATTTCACTTCCGCCGTGGATTTCATCGTTTGCGGTTTCGATTCAACGGGCGCATCACCCTACTGCGGCGCTCGAATCAGATCCCGTCCTCCTGTTCCGACCGACGGTGCGCCTGCGTATCAGCTTGATTCTTAGGTCGCTCTTCCATTCTCAGCATCCTACATTTATCGATGGCTCCTCTGGCGTTGATGGCTACTTTCGTACTTCATGGTGAAACCCTAGTTCCGGCTCAGCTCAACATTCGGGCCTGTTCAATTCGTCCGGCGACGGTTTTATGCGTTCCATGAGTCCTTGTCTCGAGATACTAACGGCTTGCGCAGGCGGTTCTCCTGGTGCTGGCGGACAAGTATTATTCTCAATCTTTCCCAAGTTCTATTGATGAAATGTGTGTGGTTCACTGCAGTTTTGATTTGGAGTCGCAGGATTTTAGGTTGGGGTTTACGAAGCACTAGTTAGTCTCTTAGTTATATGACATTAGGCATTTTGGTTTCTCTAATAGTTTGTTCCGTTATTGTTTTTGAGTGTTGATTTTGGATATTTTTTGTTGGTGGAGTGGTTATGGGAACTGTTGAGCAGGGAATTTTTTTAGTGTGGCTGATCTATTATTTAGAGAAATTGATGAAGGTAAAGGTGCGAAAAATGCTTCATTCAGCTTGATTTAGTTAGGCAGCATACTGATGCTGGTCTAAAGGTGAGTTAATGAGTTGCACTCGGCCACACAATGTCAGTGTTCGCAACTGTGAGATGAGCGTTTGAAAGAACAGTGGAAAGCTCGGGTGCTATTGTAACATTTACATTGAAGAAAGCAAGGATGATGCAACTGGAATGAACAGACAAGTTTATTCAACTTGTTAGTTTCTCCAAGTACTCAGAAAAAAGGAAAAGGAATGGCAACAACAATCAATAATGAGCTGGTGAACTTGGAAAGGCGAGGCTTTGGAGATTGATTGAGACGAAGGAAGAAAGTGAAATTAACAAGGGAAATAGTTGAGCATCTGGCTTTCGAGAAAAAGTACACGTTGAACTTAACACGGCTGGCGAGGCGGAAAAGATCCAACACATCACTCGTAAAAGCGATTTTCGCCTTTACGAGTGATCTTTGAGAGATGTTCCACCAGTTGAAGGAAAGTAAGTATGAAATGGACTGAGTCCTAATATTTTTAATTTTGCCGAGTCCTTGATTTTATTGTTGTGTATTGAAACTCAATGAGTTATTTTCCTCAGGGACAATTTCCATTTACTCTACAGAGCTGGCTGTGAAATTTGAAGATTGTAGGAGGTTGGCTGGGTGAAACCTTAATTCTTCAAGCAAGTAGATTGTTCGTGCCCTGATCATCTAAGAAATATCACTAACAAAGGGCGAAAATTGCTTTCACGAGTGGATGTCTTGGATCTTTGCCTCCTCGTCAACCATGTAAAGTTTGACGTGCAGTTCTTGAACACTGAATGTTCGTTTTCCTTGTTAATTTTGCCTACCTTGGGATTAATGTCTAAGGTTTTGTCTTTCTATATATCAGATATTTATAACACAAGTGATGTAGAAAAGAGTTCAGAAAGTTAACCAAGACAGCTTTGATTCATGTATTCGAGAATGATTTTTATAATTTTCTTGAATTTTAAAAATTCCATATGGTATTGATGTGCAACATAACATATTATGTATATCATCTTGAAGTGTAACATATTACATACCAATGGATGAGTGAGTGGAGACAATTCAACATCATTCTGAAAAATGTTATTTCGTTCCAAATGGTGCATTTTTTAGGAAAATCTCTATTAAATTTAGGGGGAAGTTGACATAAAGTTCCATACGTAAAGATCTAATGGATAATTTGTTAAGTAAAAAAAATCAAGTTATATGGTCTCTAGTTAGCTAATTCCTAAACACACACAAAGTATTACCGTTGAATACAATGTTTTTACTTGCAAAAGAAGACAATAATCATATACATGAAAATTTTAGCTCATCCACAATCCTGATTATTGTTAGAAATCGGGTATAAAATTACACGGGAATTCTACGAGTCGATATGTATTTTTCAGTTCTTAGAAATATTCTAAAAATAGAAAATTACAATTGAACTGAAAAATAAATTACAAATGAAAAATAAATTAAAACGGAAATATTATAGCCGAGGCGAGTAAAACTCTTTCCGCAAGAAGAATACGCCCCGTGTGGCAGCTAACGGTTCAGGCGTAACTTCCCCAAAGATACAACGGCAAACATCTCTAAATCTTTAGCACACCAGATTTACGAGCTCCGGCGAACTAGATTGGAGTCGAGAATTGAGCAGATAAAAATATAAATAAAAATATCCCTTTTTTGTTATTTTGATAACAAATAAATATTTTATATTTTTATTCTTTCTCTCTATTTTTTTTTTTCTCTTTCCTTTCTACCACCTCTCTACCGTGTTTCTTTTCTTTCAGTTCTTGTGTATTTTATCAAATGAGTTACAACATGTATTTATAGGTGATGAAATGGATATTTGGAGAGGTTGTTTATGCTTTGGTGTGAATTTGGCAAGTTGTCCACCAATATTCATTATTGCACGCATGGTAATCAATTGGTTGGGAATATATAAAAAAAATTGGTTGATCAAATACCAATTAATTGAAATTGGTTGAACAAAACTCACATTTACACTCAATTTACTAACAATCCCCCACATGAGTGTAAATTAAATATATATACTATTTTGCTCAATCCTCGCAAAACTCTATTGTATCAGAAAAGGTAGCTTTGGGCTTTGAACCTTTCTTTGTAAACATCATCGGATGCACTGGCGGACTAGTGGACATGATGCCTTGAACTATTCCTCCGTAGTGTACACCGAGACAATGACACTTACACAATAGAGTTTTCACTCCATTCTGTTCTATCGTTGTGTCCGTTTTGGCCATGGACAACACAATGGATTCATAAGTGTTTACATTTGAAGCGGCCCACACTTCACACTTATATAGGTGACCTCCCTATCAAGAGTATCATGTCATACTCCACCTTTACAAGGTTAGGGATTCATTAAAAGTCCATATGACTTACCCTCACCACAATCAACAGGTCATCTTGCACTTGGATTGCTCAAGGGAATAGCTTTGGACATTCATATGTTCCAAGTGCTCAACTAAATTTTCATAACTTAGTTTTCCCTTTAAACCAAGTTCGTGGGATCTTCACTCAGCATGGTGGGGTTACCACTATGATCATTCTTTACATTGTGGATTTTTAAGCCCATTCCCTCTAGCAGAACTACCAATTGATCTCTATTTAATCCTTTCGTCAAAGGATCAGCCAAATTTTCCTTAGACTTCACATAGTCAATGGAAATAACACCATTTGAGATCAATTGGCGTACGGTATTATGTCTACGACGAATATGTCTACGACGAATATGTCTAGACTTACCATTATACAAGTTGCTTTGCGCCCTTCCTATAGCAGCTTGGCTATCACAGTGAATCATCACAGGCGGCAAAGTCTTATTCCAACATGGAATATCAGATAAATAATTTCTAAGCCACTCGGCTTCTTCACCAGCTTTATCTAAAGCGATGAACTCCGATTCCATCGTTGACCGAGCTATACACGTTTGTTTTGTGGATTTCCACAAAACTGCACCTCCTCCAATACAGAATACATATCCGCTAATGGAGCGAGAATCTCTCGAATCTGATATCCAGCTTGCATCACAGTATCCTTCAAGTACGGCTGGATATCTCGAGTATTTTAGCCCGTATTCAAGGGTGTACCTCAAGTACTTAAGTACCCTTCTCAAAGCATTCCAGTGTTCATGACTGGGATTGCTCGTAAATCTGCTCAACTTATTCACAGGGTAGGCCAAGTCTGGTCGTGTACAATTCGTCAAGTACATCAGACTCCCTATTATCCGTAAATATTCTAACTGAGCCACTGGTTGACCTTTATTGGCTACCAAATTTATACTAAGATCAATGGGTGTCTTACACCTAGACTGTGCACCGTCATATGTATCAAATTTCTTGAGCACTTTCTCTACATAATGAGATTGTGACAAGACAATTCCATCTTGGGTTCTGATAATCCTTATTCCAAGAATAACATCAGCTAAACCCATATCTTTCATGTCGAAATTTCTTTTCAACATTCTTTTCGTATCCATGATCTCTTCATGGCTACTCCCAATGATCAACATATCGTCTACATAAAGACATACAATCCCAAATGCATTTGATGTACTCTTGACATAAACACATTTGTCACATTCGTTGGTTTTGAAACCATTTGACAACATCACGTCATCAAATTTCAAATGCCATTGTTTCGGAGCTTGTTTCAGTCCGTACAAGGATTTGATCAATCTACACACCTTTCTCTCTTGTCCAGGTGCAACAAACCCTTCAGGTTGTTCCATGTATATTTCTTCTTCCAATTCACCATTTAAAAATGCCGTCTTGACATCCATTTGGTGAATCTCAAGATTGTGCAAAGCAGCAATCGAGAGAAGCACTCTTATCGACGCTAAACGCGTAACTGGTGAATAGGTATCAAAGAAATCATACCCTTCTTTTTGTTTAAAGCCTTTGACCACCAAACGTGCTTTAAACTTATCAATCGATCCATCAGCTTTATATTTCTTCTTTAGGATCCACTTGCATCCTAAAGGTTTACAACCATCAAGGAGATCAACCAACTCCCAAGTATGGTTCTGCATAATGGACTCGATTTCGCTATTTACAGCTTCTTCCCAGAGTGGTCCATCTGGGCTGGACAGAGCTTCCTTAAGGGAACTCGATTCATCGTCCAACATATACGTAATAAAATCTGGTCCAAACGTTTTAGCCGTTTTTACCCTTTTACTACGTCTCGGTTCTTCATCAGTACCATCTGGTACAGAACCACTAGCAGTTTCATATGTTCGTTTATTAGAACTTGATTCTGCCCTTTCCTTCAGAGGAAATATATTCTCAAAGAATATATCATTCCTTGACTCAATTGTGGTACCAACAGATACCTCTGGATTTTCTGATTTATGAACCAGAAATCTATATGCTGTACTATTGTACGCATATCCAATAAACACACAATCGACCGTCTTTGGCCCGATTCTCATTTGTTTGGGTTCCGGTACTGAAACCTTAGCCAAACACCCCCACACTTTCAGGTATTTATAAGACGACTTATGATTTTTCCACATTTCGTAAGGAGTCTTATCTTTCCCTTTAGGTGGTATTTTATTCAGAATATGATTTGCTGTTAAAACAGCTTCCCCCCACATGTTTTGGGGTAATCCTGAATTTATCAACATGGCATTCATCATTTCTTTTAAAGTACGGTTCTTGCGTTCAGCAACACCATTTGACTGTGGAGAATAAGGGGCAGTCGTTTGATGAATTATGCCATACTCAGAACATATTTGTTCAAAATGAGCTACATACTCCCCACCCCTATCACTTCGGATTATTTTAATCCTTTTGCCGAGTTGATTTTCAACTTCTGTCTTATATATTTTAAATGCTTCCACAGACTCGTCTTTGCTTCTTAATAAATATAAGTAGCAAAACCTTGTGCAATCATCGATAAAAGTAATAAAATATTTTTTACATGTTCTTGTTTGCACACTTTTCATATCACATACATCAGTATGGATTAAGCCTAATGGTTCAGTACACCTTTCCACCGAGTGAAAAGGCAACTGAGCAATTTTTGCTTCAATACAAATCTCACATTTCTTATGTGATTCAATTTTAGAATTAGGAATTAATTCTAAATTCATCAACCGTTTAATTGCATTTCGATTTACATGTCCCAATCTAATATGCCATAAATCAGAGCACTCAACAGTATAAACAGAAATAGGCTTTTCATTATCATTTAAAACGGTTACACGGCTCACGGCCATTACATTCATTTTAAACATACCCTTGTCGAGATAGCCACGACCAAGGAAAGTTCCAAACTTGCTAAGTGTTAGTGTTATATACTGAAAGCTTGGCTTTGCATGTTATTACACATTTACCCTTTATGAATGAGAATCATGTTAGATTAAACAAGTTCTACGTTCTGTTGTTTTGCACTTAGATAGGGTGGGTCGTCATCGGGCGAACCGAAGATCACTCT